GGCCTTGGGGGGGGGGGGGGGGCGGAATCTAGTTATTTATGGAAGAATGGCATTGTTCATCATTTTCCGCCTTGTTTTTCCCAAAGCAGTGAAATCTCTGAAATGGCAAAGCTTGTTCGGCAGAGAGGGACGTGGGAGGAAGGGCTGATTTCACATTGTGTTTAGGGAGCGGTTTTCAGGATGATGGATGACTGCTCGGTGACTTAACTAACCAAGTCACAGAGCCAGAGCAGTCGGATCAGCATTAAGTTTGGAACCCGCGTGCCTTTTGGCAAGTTCCTTAACATGTCTGTGTTTGTATGAGTAAAATGCACTTTACTGCTAGTTCTTTAAATGGTGTTTCAGTTAGTCTTGCCTGCATGCTTCAAAGCTGCTGAATCCTCGTTGCTGACACACCGTATGTTTATTTACAGATGGACACTGGTGCCAGGCAGCTCAAACACAGCTTTTAACAGTCCCAGAAACACCGCGGAGACAATGAGAGTTCGTCTCAAAGGGGATGCAATCTGTACCCTCTTCCTGCTGGTAGCGCTTTGCTCTCTACTCTACTCCCAGCTGGAACATTTAGTCCCGGTAGGAAACAAGGAGCCAACACAGAAGAAGCCTTCAGTAACACCGAAAATACTCTCTGACCCCAGAGCACCTTGGACACTGATGCCAGCAGAGGCAACAGTACCCAGACCCCAGGTAACTCCCATCGTTAGACGAACAGAAGTGGCCAACGACAGGGTCCAAACTACAACTCCATCCCCGTTGACTGATTCTGCCTTCAACTTCAAGCGCTATCTCCTAGACAAGGATAACAGGAACTTCAATCTCCTCATTAACCAGCCCAAGAAATGCAGGAAAACACCTGGAGGTCCCTTTCTGCTCATTGCTATCAAATCGGTAGTTGAAGACTTTGACAGACGTGAGATTGTCCGGAAGACTTGGGGCAGGGAGGGTTTGGTGAATGGGGAGCAGATCCAGCGAGTGTTCCTCCTGGGAACACCAAAGAATAGGACAGTGCTGGCAACATGGGAAACCCTGATCCACCAGGAGAGTCAGACATACCGGGACATTTTACTCTGGGACTTCATGGACACTTTCTTCAATCTGACCCTGAAGGAGATCCATTTCCTGAACTGGGCTGCTGAATTCTGCCACAACGTGAAATTTATTTTTAAAGGTGATGCCGATGTTTTTGTCAACGTCGAGAACATTGTTGACTTCCTGGAGAGACATGACCCCACTGAGGACCTCTTTGTTGGGGACATCATCTACAATGCCCGCCCTATCCGTGTCCGAAAGAGCAAATACTATATCCCAGAGACCATGTATGGGCTAAGCATCTATCCAGCCTATGCAGGAGGAGGAGGGTTTTTGCTGTCCAGCCGCACCATGAGGAAGCTCTCTAGGGCCTGCAGAGAGGTGGAACTCTTCCCCATTGATGATGTCTTTTTGGGCATGTGCTTACAGAGAATCAACCTCAAACCCATTTTGCATGAAGGATTCAAGACCTTTGGCATTGTCAAGCCTTCTGCTGCCCCACACCTACAGACATTTGACCCCTGTTTTTACAAAGATCTCATGGTAGTTCACAGTCTGAAAGTTGCTGAGATCTGGCTAATGTGGAACCTGCTCCACAGCCCACATCTTTCCTGTACTCAGAAGAAGCAAGTGAAGAAGCCTTTCCAATGGAAAAAGAAAGCTCAAATAACACAGGCAACACCGCTCAGATAATGCAGGCAGACTGCAGCAAAAACGCATAGTAAACCAGCTGAGAAAGGGAACCTGGAAATGTTGCAACCAAATGAGCCGACTTTAGAAGTATTTTAGCACATCTTATTTACAAAATTAAGAGAAGATGACAAAGTATTGCAGGAATTTGCCAAAATCCTACATTTACACAACATACCATATAGGTCCTTCTCCATTAATGAGTCCAAATAATCATAACAGTATCTTTAATTTATTATTATTTATTAGAATTATAGCAGTGCTTAGCAGGCCAATGTGTAAAAAGCACATTGCAAAATGCAATCCTTGGAGATTTTTCAGTGTTGTTAGAAATGTGAGAAATGAAAGAAGATAGAGGGCAAGAGATGACACCAAGGAGCACAGGGATCGTTGTCAACTTCTTACCTTCACTTGGACTCATTGAAAAATGACCAAACTACACAGCAACTAGAGTAAAGGAAATCAAGTCACCTTAGTGTATGCTCAAATCAAATCACCGCTGCCTGGTTGGCTTTCTATAGGCCTCATAAGAGGAGAAGAATGGCTAGCAGCTATTGAAATGGGGTCCTATACATTGTAGATAGGATGGACAACAAGAAAACAAACTGGAGGCTGAGGGTGGCATGGCTGGTTGAGCAAAGGACAGGTAAGTAGACAACTGGGAAGGGGCAGACTTCCAAAGGGCCTTTAAAGAAAGGACAAGAAGAACTTTGAGTTGATCGCTCCAAGTCTTGATTTTTCATTATTCGTAGCAACACCTCAGTTCAAATATCTGCTCCATTGACACACTCAGGACTCAGGGGACCAGGTTTTGGCACTTCCATGAGCTCAGGCTCTACGCTATGCTGACTGGCATGCAGTGAAAACTCAAAGTCATCCAACAGCATCTGATCTCTCTCACCATCTAATCCAGATCTTCAGAAGGTTTGCATCTGGAGGGATCCTCTGGCCTTTGCTTGTGAGGGTAAAACCACACAGAGTCACTGCTTGCGTCACATTTGGGAGCTTCTTCAAACCAAAGGAAAACTTGTCCGTGGACTGGACTGGTTTCTATAGACCTTGGTGCTCTTGCCTGGCATACAGTCAACTACAAAGAGCAGCCAAGACTTTTCATATTGCTGTGGGTGTCACGTGAAGGGAGAAAGCAACCTTGAGACAAAAGGGCTTCAGAATAAAAGCCTTTCTAAATTTATTGCAAGAAAGCAAAAACACAAAGCAATCCTTCTGTTGGACTTTGCAAACTTCAGTCAGCCTGTAACTTCTTAAGTATTTTAAGCATCGGACAAGAACACTGGATTGCTTAGTTTTTCAAAGAACAGTCAATACTTTGAAGCATTTTGGTTTTTCCAGCAGCAGATTACCTTAAAAGAACACCCTTTTCTTGGACATCAAAGAGGAATTAAAATTCCTCTAAATCAGGGTTAAAAAACTACAAAATCCGTGGGGCAAAGAGCCTGAATTCACCTCTGATACTGTGTTTGTTAATTCTTTCGCAATTTTTCCCCCCTCAGCAAAACTCCTATCCATCAGAGAACCCCCAATGCCATTCCTCTTCAGGAGGGCACATACACACTGATTCAAAGGAAACTACAATCAGCCATAAATGTCCAGGAAGTTGCTTTCACTTGAACAGAGCCTGCAGCGCAGCTGCATTTCATGTCTGGGTATAACCTTCCTCCTGCCCAGCAGTAGTCCAGGTTCAGTACTCGTATTAACTATGCACAACACGGGGGAAAGCAAGCTGGTAATAGCCACTGGTAGACTATTAACAACCGTCTTACATGCTATCTTCATCATAAGAGTTTAAGCCTTACAATAACGTATTTCCAAGGAAAGGTCAGCTGTATAGAAATCAAAAGACCATATGTTGATTTGGGGTATTTTCAGGATGCAATCCTGAAATACAAAATGCTCGTGTAAGATTTACAAGGAGCTCTGTCAGGTGTGGAAATAAGCCAGAGCCTTGCTGGTGGGAGAAAGCCAGTCACGCCCCTGTCTGCTAATATGTGTGATACTTATGTATTTATGAGCTTGTACAGAAATGTATTACCTGTGATTAGTTTACAGTTTGGGAAATTATTTATATCATAATTAAAAGACAGCATGCAGACGTGCCTCTAGTTGTCAGAGTGAGTCTGTCAAGTACATCTGCACACATGTTGTAAGACTAACACCACAGGTATTTTTCATGAAGACAGTAACATGAAAAATACATTATTCATTATTTTGGATAACTTGGTAAATCTTTCCCTATGCTGGACTTAATTTACTGGTAATGACAGAAAAATAAACACGTCTTACCTTATTATTTCCTACAAGGCAGCTAGTCAGGTTCAGCAGTCCTTATTAAGATCTTCCTTTTAACCTCAGAGATGCACAGAGATTGGCTCCTCCCTCTATAATATCTTCAGATCTGCAATCTACCTACAGTACAGCATTAATGAGAGCATTTTGTCCCAGAACAAAGTTGTTGTTCAACACCCACCTGTACCAGCACATACTCTGACAGATTGCGGAAATGGAACTAGAGCAAACTGTTTACTCTGTTGTGTTAGTCTATGGAATAGCTCGTTTCTTTTATCCAGTGAATACTAAATCTAGTATCTAAAAATGAAAGATACATCTGGTTTTGTTCTCAAGCTTCTGCTGCATGGCCTGTTTGACCTGGATTTAAAAGTTTCCATTCGCTTCTGCAGTTGAGCTGGAAGTTCACAGACTCCATATGTGAGCATAACGCACTGGAATGCACTGGGGAAATGCTGGAGGGCAGTGCTGCATCCCCTGCGGTTTATTAAATTCTACTTCCTGCCACAGTAGGCAAAAAGTCTTTGACTTCATCCATGCTGGAGATTGTTTCCTAAAATATGAGGTTCTTTTCAGAAAATCCTAAAACCCTAGGTGTGTATGAGAACTGGCAGGAAGGACCTTCCACCGACCTTTCCGACACATCTCAGAAAACCCAAACCATCCATTTCAGAATGACATTCTGAGCAGCTTTTATTAACTGGCTAATTCAATGCACCAGTCAGGGTTTTGCTACAAAGCCTTGCATGGCAATTTTTTTCATGACTAACCCATCATGAGAAAAGAAAACATAAAAATATCCTAAGTGGGTTCCACCAGTAGCAAGGAAGGCAAGCAGACATCCTCGAGACAGACATAAACATCTGAAGCTAATACAGTACAGTAGGTTTTATTGAATCCCAGGGACCCACACACAGTGAAATTTTGTTCTTACTGTATGTAAGTAGCCAGATTTGGTCACTATAACGAGCAGAGCTGGCTTGAAGCTCACATTCAGCACCTCCAAATGCATCTCTGGACACATAAACTGGTAGTGAATGCCAAGATCCATCATTTGGTCAGGCCACTGCTCACTTAGACATCATAAAAAAAAGAAAGCCCAAGATGGCTCTGGAGCAACTGAGTATTAAAATACTGTGCTTCCTGTCTGCAGCTTAATTATTCATCTTTCTACAGCAGGTTCTCGGAAGCAAATGCCAACTACAAAATCAAACAGTACAAAACAAGCAAACGGCTCAGAGAATCCTCGCTAAATATTAGCACTGAGAACATTCCCCAGAGAGTGCTGAAGGACCATCAGATTGGGGGGGGGAAGGGACGGGACGGGGGAAGTCTACCCCAAAGCCCAGTTTGAAGAACTGCTGAGCCCGAGTTGTACCTTTCAGCTGGAGCTGCAGGGCTCAGCAGCCCTGAAAATTAGCCCACCGCATTTCCCTAACGATGCTACTAACTATACTGATGTTTGTCAAAACCAGTAAAACTTTTAAATCCAACTTTACATCATTTTCTAGGCTTATGGTCAATGAGAAAACCATGCTGAGAAATGAGGAAGCCAAACCCCAAAGGACGAGTGCACCCGAGTCCCTCCAAGAGCAGCAAACAGCTTCCCCACCAGTCCTGACCAGCCCAACGCTCTCTCCAATTCAACCAAATCCAGCTCACACATCTTCTCTCTCCCTCCCTCCCTCCCTTTCCCTGCCCGCCCCTTGACAAGCCCAGTGCTGAGACCAGTGAAAAAACATAAAGTAACACAGGTCCATGGTGACTGCCTTGTTCCCAGGGGACTGACTGAGCTGGGTGGGAATAAAGGTGTGATATTCAGACAAACACTCTCTATGGCCATAGAAGCAGAAGAAAAGGGTGAAATAATCTTGTTAGCCTCCATACTTGTGGATGCAACAGAGCTACCCACTGAGGAACAGGGTAAACTCGGGCTTCCAGGGCTTCAGTCTTCCTAAGAGAGACCAGTGGAGGCGAAAAGGGAATAAAGTGATTCAGACTGGTTTGATTACTTTGCTGATTAGACTGCACATTGCATAATCATGCAGGGGGTTTCTGTGATTGGTATTTAAACTAAGTATCTACGAAACTTATGCACTAGGTGGAATATGTAGCGTAGGTGTGAAACATTAAGGCACTTAAAACCAGCTTCTGAAACTGCAATACGCAGTACTTTAAAATGACCAAACTAGTAACACTTAAAGGGGAATTAATTAGGGTATGAAAGAGAAAAGGTTATGTTAACTCATTATAGTCTAGTCCAGAACAAAAGTTACTGTTGTAACAGTATCTTATGCAAACTCCAGCTTGCCTTTCCCGCTGTTTCAAGCAGCCAGTGTTCCCAGATCATGAAAAGGAACGATTCTGCCTGCTGGAAAAATACACGTCCCCACAAACAAAAACAAAAGCCTTGGATAAAAGTTTGGCAGGTGAAACATTTAAACAGTGACTTTATTAGTTACAGCTAAAATTCACATAGGTAGAGAATATGGTATTTAAGTTCCACCTGAACCCTCCAAGTAACACATATACCTCCTGCAAAAACAAATCCCTTTGTTGGTGCAGTTTTCACGCAGTGAACTGGTTACACCCTGGCCTTGAACAAAGCCCCCCTACTTCATTAACTCTCAATCCTATTTTAATGCTCAAGAGTTACATCTTCAGCAAGCTCCACTTTTAACTTCCCCTTATTTTGCTTCAACCTTACCTTACCTCTGAAGCATCCTGGGCCACACCTTACACGAAAAGAATGAACCAGAACTAATTTGTATTCTATTAACTCCCCAAACACACACAGTGATGTATTTAATTGGCTACACATGCTGTGTCAGGTTGTGTCTGACAGGATCAGCCAGAGAGGAAAGTGCCTTTGTGTCGGTGTAATCAAGATAAAGGAGGTAAAATAATAGGTGTTTATGGGGCAAAAGTGGACATGGAACAATAGTATCTGCAGAGCTAGCACAGAATAGCCTTTTTTGTATCATGACACCAAAAATTATTCTGAACTCAACACAACCAGGCCGTGAGAAATTCTGTCGTATCAGAAATCTTGGTCCTTGTCCAAATACTCTGAAGCAGGCAAATAGCTATGGCTTGGACGTAACATTTCTTTCGAAGTAACAGCCACTCAGCTTCACACGCATGCAGATTTACTCTTACATATGTCTGGAGCCATCAAACACAAAACCTAACAGAAGTCAGCTTAGCAGAGTTGCTAAGTGACTAACAGGCTCTAACAACACGTAGAAAGTCAATGTGAAGTGGTCAACAAGCCCCTCGGTTTCCCTTTGGAAAACACTAGCTGAAGTCTAACCTCCAGCCAGCCCCTGGTAACAATGAATCACCATCCGCTGTAATCCTGAGACATGGGAAAGTTTGGGATTTTTTAAACAGGTTTGATGGGAGTTCTAGAATATGAACAATCATGAGTGCATGAATCAGTTCTCACACACCACTCGATTACTATTTCAGAAAAAAAAAAAAAAATCTGTTTAGAATTAGAAGTGTGACAGTTCCTGGCAACAGAAAATTTGGTTTTCTTGACAGGAACAGCATTTTGGGGAACAGAGGATTCTAGTATTACACAGCAGCACTGATCTATATAGTACTGCCTGTAATATTCACAGGAGACCAGGGACTGCTTGCAGGCCTAAAGAATATGGGAAGAAATGTCAGCTTCACCTCCAAAAAGAAGCGCACAACATTATTAAGTGTGAACAAATGAAATACTGCGGAAAATACTGCAATATTGAAGTTAAGCAGACACCCACAAAAACTCCTAATTTCTACACAAAGGAAAAAGGCACACATCAAAATGGGATCATATGCAGAATGTGTTTTATTAAAAATGCAATTGTACGTAACATTATATCAGTTTTATCGTATGAAACCAAAATGATGGACCACCAACGTGCACGTCGGCTACATGCACGATCTGTACCAAACCATACATAACTCTGACAAGGGCACCTACTGAGACGGGATCTGACACAGCCCAAATCTCTCGGTTCCTTTGGGAGGGGAAGGTGATGCACCCTGCCTAGCTGGCCTGGCAGAGCTCAGGCTGGCACACTGCTGCACCCTGAGCACCCCTCTGCAAGGAACAGCACTTGGTTCAAACGAACAGCCTCGTCCCAGCCCCTCCTTCCTGCCACACTGCCATCCTCACCTTCTTCCCCAGAGCTCCTCTATTCCCTACTCCTTCCTCTCTTCACGCTGGTGATACAAAACTGCCCTCGCTGCTCCCCCCCTGCCCGAGTCCTAAGGTTTTCATGCCAGCAAGTCCTTCAGGCTCCACACCAGCTCCCCTAATGCATCAGCACAGGAAGAGCTTGGCTTGGCTTAGTCCAAATAGCAGCAAACAAATCAAAACATCTCAGAGAAGCGAGCTATGAACAGCTGCAATCACAAAGGAAGGGTGAGGAAACCCAAAAGACCCGCTCCACATTATCTCCCCATGCCCTTCTTCAGCTCTGCCTCCTCCAAAAGTGCTTTGCGCTCAGCTCACCATCAGCAGCCAAAACGCAAAGTTGCCTTTAATGTTTGTCTGTTACAGAGGAAGTTTTCAAGATGAAGGGACTGACCTTGAGAAGTATCTGGGCTGTTAAGAGAGGACATTCCATTATCTACACTGTTTTAGTCGCTTTGACTCACCAGAGCACTACAAGTGAAGATGGGAGTCACTAAGTTAAATACCTTTGGTTAGCTGCTGACATCCTGTCCTATGTCTTGAGGTGCATGCTATAGCAGCAGTCCTGACCTCACACTTCTGAAGAATTTCAACTGAATATGCTTGAGAGCAGGATAGTGGTAGTATCTGCACAGCCATTACTCAGATTGCCCCATCAAGAATCTGTCTCCTCCTGCAGCTAACCTGGAGCCTTTATTAGAAAAGGATTAACTAGAATTAACTGAAGTTATTAGCAGGATTGCTGTCATATTTTAGTAACAAGCAGAAGCATGCACACCATCTCAATTCAGAGATCATAAAATTCTCCAAGAGCACACTGAGCCAAGCACTATGCAAGGTCATTTTATATTCCAGAACTGAAGGATGCTAAAGGAGGGAGAGCTAAGTGCTCTACCCTGCATTAGGCAGCCAGTGCAGGAGAAAGGCAAACGGAAACGGGACTCCCACTCTTTATGCCCTGCATTAACCTCTAAACTACTTCAGGGTAAGCAGACTTCCAATGCTTTTCTGTTGAAGTACCTTAGGGCACAAGAAAGCAATATGAGAATTCATGTTTGCTCCTTTTACTGCAGACATTTCTTCCATTCTGTTGTGCGATATTCAAACTTGTTGAAGCTTGATCGATTTTAATGACACCCAAAGGCTGACATGAGTGTAAATTGCATTTTTGAACATAATACAGAAGCCACAGTGTTATTTACCATGGTTTAAAGACTTCCCTTCTTTTGCACTTCAGGGCAAAAATTTATAATACACTTTGATGTATCTACTACGAAACAAACTGCAAGTTATGTTAGTTTTTACACTGTTTCTTTGGAGAACATACTGTGTCAGCTGTAAAGCAAGAACACTAGTCAGGTACTTCAAATATAATGTCTGAAAGACAGTAAAATAAAAAGAACTAATTCATAAGGAAAAAAAAGCACAAGAACATCCATGATTTTATTACAAAAACACCCAGCAACTGTATTTAACACAAAACCAGTAACTGAGAGTCTCTTTATTTTTCTTTCAGTGTACATGCTCATTATTATTCCATTTAATTTACAGAAGGGCTATGTAAAAGGAAATTAAAATTAGAGAGGGAACAAAAGGAAGGTTGAGGCATAGAATTTTCTTAGCAAGCAATGATCACAGGAGACAGCACAGATTGAACAGGGATTCAACAGGAGTGACACCTAGGGATAAAGGTAAACAGTAACTTTTTCCTTATCCATTAGATTCTCCATGGGGCTTTTTTGTTTGTTTTAGCAGAACAGTTTAGAGTGTCACAGTATACAGGAAGACTAAATGGCAAAGAACGTCTCACACACACACACCACATTTATCCCTGCTACTGGTCCAGGATCCAAAACTTCACTTAACATTCGATTTCCTCTCTCTCATTCATTGATAAACTATACAGGATTACACTGTACATGGAGTTAAAATTACAAAAATGTCATATTTACAAAATCTGTACACACATAGTAAAACTCACAAAATCGTCATCTATGTATCACAAGTTGCTACACCAAAATATTAAAAATGGGATAAAATTATACATTTCTCTTGTCCATTTTTAAAAAGGGTTCAATATTTCAAAGACAGACCACCTATTTCCCCCAAATAAGACCGGTAAGAGAACTAGAAACCTAAAGTATCCTCCTGGGATAAAATGTCGCGAGCAGCATCTCCCAACTAGAAAGAAGCCTATATCCTGTCTGCTGGGGTGGGGTGTGCAGTTAGCATATATGTACAGAAATGGTGAAACTACAATAAGGATGTCTTTGGCTAAACCTTTGGCATAAATTAAAATCATACATCAAAAAGTTACAGAAAAGGTTTTCTTGGTGATGGCAGAGCTCGGGAATTTCTTTCTGAGATACCATTATATACAGCTTTTCTTTCTCTAAGGAAACAGAGTAGGAAGTAAAGGATTTTGGAACAGAGGCAAATGAGGCAATGCTATTTCTTTGTTAAATTTTTCACTAGTATGAAAAATTGTATCAAATCTTTTCACTAAAACATAATTCAATCATAGAAATAACCTCTTTCAGATTTTTTCTTTTTGAAACTGTGTATGAAAAAAAAATAATTAGTAAACCAGCCACGGCAGAAAAAAATTGTTTCAGCATATCAAGTACATATTAGTGCAGGAAGGTGGATAAATTTGATCCACTGTATAAATAAGCTTTATGCGCAGCGTACATTAAATAACCATCACACCCCACTCACACCCAGTACACAGATGCTCCTCAGTGAAGATAAACGTTTATCAAGTAATTAAAGTGTATGTAGTGCAAATGTTACAACCAAGTATTATGCACATGCTACTTGCTTGGTTTAAAGTTACACAAAGATGTGGTGCCTGAAATCATGGACATATATACATCCTTGTCACACTTGGTACAATGTCCTAAGCCACAGAAATACCGATGTGTTTATATCTATATATATACACACACACGTTTTCTTAAAATGTGACCACCACATCAATACAGTAACACAAACAGACTAAAATCAATACCTGCTTCCAGATGCTCCAAGGCTCAGAAAGTTTGTGCTTCTAACTCTTGCAGTCATTACGTGCCCCTCTTCCATTTCCCCCTTCTGCCAGTTGAGAAGGGAGGACAGTCTCTTCAGGTCTGTGCTGCATAGGATGAGGGCAACGGAGAAGAATAAACGACGGCACAGGCACCTAAGCTGCTTTCCTCCATCAACAGTTCCATGCCCCATGATGAAGGGTTGAGAGAATTTTCCCTCCACACCGCTCCCGGGTGGAAAGGCTTATTGAAAAAAAAAAAAATCGTAACGTGCTTTCCGTATTATAAGTGGCAGCAAATCAAGGCACGCTGTACTAATTTCGTAGCATTGAGATTAGCTGACTTTGCAGGGGATGCTCACTGGGGAAGGTCCGATGTTCTCAACTGGCTGCTGGGCCGTGTTGGGCCATACAGAGTAACAGAAGCTATGTGATTATTCTGCATCACCTGCAAAAGGATGGCAGGGAAAAAGTGAAGAATCATACATCAAACAAACTCAGAAGAGTGAAAATAGCAAATATGAAACTGATCTGTCTGAAAAAAGAAATCCCAACAACAAAGGAAAGTAATAAGCTCTTGGCTAGTTCCTAAAAATGGTCTCTAGATTTCCATGACACATTTAAACACCAGCATGCTCCACCACTACTCAGAGCTCAGTGCACACATCTCCTGCTAGTATGAGTTCTGGGTGACAAACTTGGAAGTGCCACCTTTAACATGCAAATGTACAACCTCAGAGAAGAGATTGGAAAGTTGCCTATTTCTGCCAATAAGCTCTAAAAATACAGCCACTTCCAAGTGCTGGCTTTTCTTGAAATGGGAAATAATAAGCCAGTTGTAATAATAGCAAACTCCTCATCTTCTCTTGCCCAGACAAGTACGAACATTTTTCTCCTAACCTCAAAGATCATTCGTTGCAGTCCAAAGCAAAAGGTTGACCCAAATGGGTTAGTGTTGTTCGGAGATGATGACCTGAACAGATAAGAGGGGAAAAAAAAAAAAAAAAAAGAGCAAAAAAGGATGTGTGAGGATCAGGAACTTCTCAGGGAAGAATAACCACTCAGTAATATAAGGTAAATTATGGCATCTTTATCATGGCTTTCATCAAAAGAAAGTAAATCTACATTATGCAACACCACTGCTAGATTCCAAGTGAGCCAGAGGATACCTCTGCTTAATGTCACAGAGCCATTGTTAATATTCAGGGAGAAAGTAACCAAAAAGTTACTAATGACCTCTACAGGAAAACTCTCTTTCACTGAACTCGAACAGGAAGAACTCTGAAAATAAACAGATACATAGGAAGAGAGAAGCACCATGTAATTTATTACAAGTTATTTTTGTGCAAGTTCCTTTCCCACTCTTCAGTCTACTTTGCGACTCAGCCTCCACCATATGTATTTACTATATGCTGTCTATTAAGCCACTTGTTTTATTGTGTTAAAAAAAATTACACGGTTAGATACTGAAATAGAATAATCCAAATTTCATTAAACAGTATTATTAAACACAGCAAATGTAAGGACTCTTCTGTCTTCAGTCAGCCTGAAAGAACTGTAGAACAACCATCTATGTTCATAAAAGCAAATCTTCTTCAAACAGACTGCTATCCTATATACTAGGCACTGTACTGTATGATGTCAAGTTGCTGAAATGCATGTAACTAGTTTAAAAAATCTACACTATTTATTACACAAAGAGAGAGACTTCTGTATATGCTGCTTAGCTCTTCTCTGGATTTTACAGTTCAAGGAATTGTGGAAATGTTTTCATTCTGCATGTCAGTCTATTTCCTCTGAGAGCAGCTATCTAGTCTTGTTAGTGGCCCAAAAGTCTGAAACTTTAACAGCAAAGCAGCCCAAAAGTAACTAGTGCAATAAACATCCTTCCTCTGCCTAAACTCATCCTCTGTCATCAGCTCAATCCCTGCCAAGCAAGACAAAGAGAGATCTTTACCTGTGAAGTACCACTGGCTTCTCTACAGGGTGCCCCAGAAGGTCCTGAATACTGTCCCACTGTAAAAATATCAAAGACTTTGTGTTAAAATGAGGCACAGGAAAACTTTTTTTTCTAGGAAGAGTCTTGTGTACATTTTTGTTTGTGACATGTTCATTTGCCAAATAACATAGAGGTTGTATTTACAAAAGTATTTTGTGACTGGAGCCGTAATCAGTAATGGAAACTATCCATTACTAGAGCTAGAAAATTCTCTCAGGGTTTATTCTCATTTTTGTCTCAAAATAGCTTTGAATTAGAATTATTAATATAAAAAATTCTATGGGTCTTATGGGTAAAGTGTAGCTGGAAAGTCTTGTAGCATTTCAGAGGAAAAAGCACCTGTAGGAAACCTCAGCAAAATATCCTCTTACATAACTTTGCAGAGGGAAAAATAGCATCACTGCTACCTCTCCCAAAAGCCTTTCCTTGATTGAAGCGACAAGTTTGGAAAAGAAGAGGAAAGCCGCACTACTTAATGATTGGGAATGTCCAGCACTTTTCATTGCTCTAAGCAGACCTAATAAGAAACTGCAGTTTCACACACAAGACTGAAATAAGTCAAAGCACTAAAGGATGTAAGCAATTCAAGTCAAAAAGCAAAGAATGGCAACTTCCAGGTTGCTGACTCCAATTTTTTCTTCCCAGTATGGGACTCAAAATTCACTAAGCAAAGCCTTTATTTAGCACCCCAGGAGCCAAGAGAGCAGCACTGACCCTGGCTGAATGTTAACTGTAGAGCCACTGCTGAACACAATTTTTGAGAAGTTTTTCAACTTAATGTAGCTCTCAAACATGCATCAGCAACTGCCCAGTTGGAAATCTCAGTTAGGTGGTAAGGCTATACAGTTTTCAAGGAGTTCACTGTCATCAGGAGGTGTCACACAGGCAGTGACATTTTTGTATGGCCTGCTGCTGCCTGAGAAATGTCCCATTACTGGCACCCTTCAGAAGAAAGTGGAAGGGCACTGGACCCTCTTGGTCAAATACCACATGTCTTCAAAAGCTACATTAAGTAGAAAAGCTCTGAAAATTTGTTTAGAAATATCTCTTCCAGCTAACATTCAGCCACCACTGCTATTGGTTCCCCCATCACTTATTTTACTGTTCTATTTCTACTTGCAGCTATCTGTCTTGGTTTCGGCTGGGATAGAGTTAACTTTCTTCCTAGTAGCTGGTACAGTGTTATGTTTCTGTTCGGTATGAGAGGAATGCTGATAACACACTGAGGTTTTCAGTTGTTCCTAAATAACATTTAGACTTAGTCAAGGATTTTTCAGCTTCTCATGCCCAGCCAGCAAGAAGGCTGGAGGGGCACAAGAAGTTGGGAGGGGACACAGCCAGGGCAGCTGACCCAAAGTGGCCAAAGGAATATTCCATACCACATGACATCATGCCCAGTATATAAAATGGGGGGAGTTGGCCTGGGGGGAATTGCTGCTTGGGAACTAACTGGGCATTGGTTGGTGAGTGGTGAGCAATTGCATTGTGCATCACTTGTTTTGTATATTCCAATTCTTTTATTATTATTATAGCCATTGTATTATTATTATCATTATTAGTTTCTTCCTTTCTGTTTTATTAAACTGTTCTTATCTCAACCCAAGAGTTTTGCCTTTTTTTTCCAATTCTCTTCCCCATCCCACTGGGTGGGGGGAAAGTGAATGAGTGGCTGGTACGGTACTTAGTTGCTGGCTGCGGTTAAACCATGACACTATTTTAAACGCAAAGCATGCAATAGGCATTAAGTGTGCTATTACGAATGCCTTCAATCCTTAACACAACAAAAATGTTTAAACCACAAAACATACATTAACTTTTGGCCTTCAACTTTTCTATTTTAAAACACCACGATACAACTACTATTATTTCTTCAAAGCTTATTACAAATTCCGCATAGATCATTTAGACGGTTTAAGAAAAGAAGGAGAACATTCAGTTCTGCACAGACTTACCTTGCTATATGTTGTACATGTTTCTGTCTGTGAATCAGCACTATCTATGAAAGAAAAACAGAAAAGCATTTATAAGCTTATACTTGAACCTATATAATCCTATATTTTGGGAGGTTAGTTCAGATAGCAGGAGACATACAAGCATTAGATCAGTTCATATACAAATTTACCAGGGTTTACTAGCAACCAGAATTGTCAACATTGACTAAATGCAAGTCAAGGTGATTAAACAAACCTGCCTATTTACAGCAAGTTCCAAGTTCTAACACTATATATGTTTAAGCTGTAATCTTACATAGAAGAATGCCAGAGTAAAAGAAACATATCTTTGCACTGTTAACATGCCTAGCACAGCCACTCATTGAGATAACGTGATGTGCCACTCCTCAAGTCCAAACACTCCACTGCACTTGAAAAGGAGGCTGGCTAAAACTGACGGCTTGAGACTCAGGAGCTGGCAGGCTTGAAATCAGCTAAAATGCCACTCTTTCAAAAACACATATAGCAGAGAGCTTGGTAATTGCAGTCCACCTAGTAAATAATAGAAAAAGCTACAGGAGAGGACAGCATTGCATGTACGCTTACAGTCTTAGAAAGAAATTGTTTGCTGGTGGTTTCAAGCAGTGGTTCAGTCTGGAGCATTGGGAATGGACCTAGACGCTAAACAATTCAAACATAGCAAATAGTCTTTAATTTGATTGAAAGCTCCTCTGTATTTTCCACCTGCTAAATAAAAATGCTCTCTTCATGTTGAAAGAGTTCAGTGCCTGTGCAACTTCAACCCTGGCTGTCAATTTATTGTCCGACATTGAACTACAGAAGGTAGTTAATAAAGCTGCATCAGACACTGCCACCAGATGGAAGAAGATGGGCTCTTCATAAATTTTATAACATTTGTTTACAATTTGTTACATGTCCTGAACATAAGCTAGAGACCAGAAAGGTGAGCTAAAAAAAACCCCCAAAATCCCAAGACACATTCAGAAGAGATTCATGGTATTACTTGAGATGAATAAAAATCAGAAATTAATGCCTTTGAAGTACTGCACAATAACCTAATGAAAAAGAATTTATAAAGTGAGAACTTATTCTCTTGGCTGAAGTACAAATCAACTTTCATATAAGCTAGCATATACAGACATTGTTTTTCCAGGTTTTTATTCCTCTACGTGCTCAAACTGCTGTGACAGCCACAGGAGAATTGCACTTTACACAGGAAAGTGCTTTCAGTAAAAACCAATCAGAATGAAGAAAGCATCCCTGGCCAAAACCTAGCCAGCATCCACCATTCCCTGGGTAATCAAAATACACACTTTCCCAGTACACCTGTTAATTCTTATATTAAAGAAGTCTACCTCGATCCCTATGATCTTCAATCAAACAAAGTTCCCCATACTTTGTGGGGATGACTGACTTACACAGAGCTGGGCACATCTTAGTATCTTGTGGAATCAGCATTACTGATTATATATATTTTTTTCCAAGTGAACACAACACACATACTTGTCTATAGCACATAAAGCCAACATATTCTAGGTGTTCGTTTTCATTCCCAGCTAAACCAGTTTATATTAAATACCATGAATAAAGCTTTCAAGACCGAGCTCAGTGTTAAAAAGTTCAACAGTGGATTGGACAGACCAGCTCAGACTAACACTGCCTTACAGATTTTGAACCTCCAGGTACAAGGTAATTGATTTTAGCAGAGTGGCAGCATTACAGAAAACTAGTGATGTTGCAGCTAAATATTTGTATGATCCAAGTAAGTAAACTAGGTAGCGTAAGTAAAATCAGAGAACTGCTAACATGTCCTGAAGTATCTTTTTCACTTAAAGAGAAACCTAATCCCCAAATTTCTCCTCTGTCTCAATGACTTTCACTGTTCTGTTAGCATCCTCTGGTAATAAGGATGCTTTAGAAATGAAAACTGATCACGCCCCCGCTTTGAGCATTTTGTGGTACATGCCCCCTGAAGCAGGACAACAGATGAACTACTCACCTCGCTTAATGACTAGCGGAATCTTGAATTCACAGCGATGGTAACTAGAAAGTGCAAATTGTAAAGCTATTAGAAAACAGAAAAGCCAACATAAACTGCATAGCACAAACTTAGGGCTCTTAACCAGTTTAATGAAAAGTCACATGAATAATAAAATGAAAATGAGAGTCTCAATGCTAACAGATTAAGAAGAGTTCTTATTCCTATTTTCTAGATCAGAAAAGGCGGCAGCCTGGGAATGTCCTAACATAATTTTCCAGAGGACACAAAAGATCCTTCAGCACAAATTACTCTGCTGTTACACAGAGTGGATGGAGAAATATTCAGCTTAGAAACAGTATTATAGAGTTCTCTGTCACTAACACTAACTGCTTTAATCAGACATCCATTCACCACTTCTTTAACTCATATTCCTCCTCTAATGAGTTTACATTTTAAAAGTATTGAAAATATGTTCAGAAGCATGAGAGAATTTTCTTTTTTTTTAAATCACTAACTGAAATAGTGTCAGGAAGAAAACAGCAGCCTACCTACCAGTAAATGGACACTTGCTAATACGAAGTTCACCTCTAGCAAGACAGTTTGCACATTATAGCTAGAACTATCTTACCTCATTTACTGCTTTAAGACATTCTTGACAATATAAAGGCATTTAAAACTAAAAATAAAATAATAAAAAAATGTGCTAATAATGATGGCTGAAACCTCCACAGACTACCAGATACACCAAAGACACTTGGAAAAAATACTGGAATTCTATAAGGGGAACATAAGATTTCCTTTTCAGGTGTTTTAAAATACTCTTTAAGAGATCATCTCTTCACACTCACATGTTAAAGTTGTAATGACCAGGATAATTTGTATGCAGGACAAATTTCTTCACCTTGTGAGTGTTTGCATCAAAGAGAATATCCTGTTGAAGAAAAAACAGACAGACATGAAGCAACTTGGGTAGTGGAAGGTGGCTTTCCCCAAACGAACCTGAGATTAGTTACAACAGTACAGGCATATAGTGATATGTATCTATTTCATTGGAACCAAATGGAACTATGAAAAGAAGTATTTGAAAATGAGACTATTTGTAAATTCAAATAAACACACATTTCCTCCAGCACTCAATCACAACTGCAGTTCCACTTGCTAATGTTGGCAAGTTTTCAAAGGAGGTCTTGTTTTTCCTGCATATTATTTACAGTAGACTAATGCAAAATAGCTGTAAAGAGGGACATGAAAGTTGAACTACATCCCACAGCTCGGCAAACTTTCACAATTGGTGTTATGGCACATTTATGCCAGATCTGCGGGACAGGAGCGTGGATTTCAGAAACAAGAACTAGTATAATCTATGCATCAGGCATGGCAGACAGAGAAAACCTAAGAGAATGCAAAAGCGCAAAGAGCCCTCCATCCACTGGTGGAGATGATAAAACATTACTGATTGAATTCACAAGTGCTAGAGAAAAAAGTCAGTGTTGTTTTTCATATCCAGAGATTCCTAAGGCAGCAATCAAGAGTTTTGCAGGCTCTCATTTCCCACAGCCTTTAGCCTTCTGAAAGGATTGCTGTGTAACCAAATCAAAACTTTACAGGAATTTGTTTATGGAAGCTTCCCACTTACCACTCCAAGTGTGAAATAATTGAAGAAGTAGTCATTGCACTTTGATGGGACCTGCTTATGGGGCGAGGGTGAATGGATTTTCATCTGCAAGAAACACATTTTTCAGGTGTATTTAATAACGCTCACAAAGATGAATGCCATTAACATCATCACTACATTCAAACAAATTGTCATAATCTCATTTGAAGCCCTTGTTCAAACATGTAAGATACTGTGCTTCATGACAGGACCATCAGCTGCTTGCAGTGGCACAATGACACACCATTTTTTTTCTGCTTTTAGTTATCTGAAGTAAAAGGTTTACTCATATGCTGCTATGTAAAAACATTAAGAAAGGATCAAAGTATGTGTTGAAGTTATTTTACGTAAAATATAATTAAAAAATAGGCAGTACACACTTGCTAAGGCTCTTTTGGATTCAGAAGTGCTCCTATTTTTATCAACTTTTAAACAAGTTAAAGTGATGCAGTTTTGTTTTTTGTTTTTTTTTTTAATTTAAACAGATTGGCATCGATTTAGCTTAAAAAAAGCTTTTTAAAACCAAATTATATAATGGTTCATCCTGGTCTATTATATGTCAAGTGAAGCACTCATAATTTGTGCTACATGTCAGTTTAACTTCACTGGCCTTGCAAAACACAGGCCCTGTGATTAAACTGAGACAGCACTGAACAGAGACAAAGTCCTGCACCTGAATGAATTCCCTCACCTTATCTTCAGACTTGTAGAAGACTTTGTGCGGAGACCCCAAGGTGCTCAGCACATCCTGGCACGAATCACCAAAGTATACACAACGCTCAAATACCCGCATCTTGGCATCGGCTAAAACACCCGGGCCACAACCTGAGGAATGGAAAACAACTCAAAATTCATCCTTCCTGATCAGAGAATACATCAGCAAATCAACATGAAAAGCTTAGCATTCCTCTATTTATCACAAAGCAAACAGCTGCATTCTTTAGACAACAGTGCCAAACTAAATTTAACCATTTATTTTGCAACAGTTTAAACATATCTTATTGAAGTGATGTATGTGCTGACTGTTGCAGAGATCCCCATCTTATTAACCTCCAACTTCAGCAATGCTATCTTCACTTCCTTGCCATTCACATGAACATGACTTGTTTTCCTAGCCAGTCTCAATTTCGTCAGCTGGTTATTAGCAGTAGGTACCAGGAATTATTTCTATCCCTAAATATTCTACTTTAGCAGCCAGAGATGTATCTCCAGCTAAAAAAGTAAAGCCCATAAAGAAGTTCCTCATCCATATTAACTGTATCAGAAAAAATACATTCTTTACTCAAGATTCCCATAGCTTATTAAATCAATAGCAAGTATGTCCCTATGCAAACAATGTTAAAAACTGATCTTATTGAATAGTCATTACATAGATGAATTGTCATCAAATGACATACCTTAGCAGATGGTAAGAAATGAAAGACCTTACAGTTTGTGACCCCATTTGCTTTCAGGGATGCAGCATCTTACATTTACGAGAACGCATGTATACGTATGCATGTAACATTTGCAGTTACTGCAAAATACAGGATGTGCTCTAAATACTCACTTAGCTTTTCTCATTATGCATTATTTATGTAGCTAGTTACCCAATAAAATAAATCAGAAAAATCCAATTGAGTCATCCCTGATTTCTTAAGCAAGAGTTACTTCAAATTAATACACTTGCAGAGAAACTTGAGCTAGAACAGGTGCATAATATGTTCCACAAAGGAGTTTCTGTAAACTTTAGCAAGACAAGAACAGCACATGTCCAGACTGCCACTCCGCAAGTTTTAGTCTGACACTTACTGATATTTTAATAATTATTTTATTCATTGACAACATTTTCTTTAAGCTGCATATATATATTTTTAACTAAACTTGACACTCTACCTTAGAAGTGTCCAATTTCTCAAAATCATTTATACTATTATGTTATAGCTAACTCCTTCCCTAGTACACAAGGATATATGTTCCCTGTCCTAGGCAGCTCTCCATTATCTTCCTCTGTAAAGAGAGAAGCAAATTAACTTGAAAACATCTTCTCCATTTTTATTCATATTTTATTCTTCATCTTAAATTTTCTCCTTTTTAACTTTCGCATATTGCGAATGTATTCCAAGTGTTTTCTCAATATACATACAGTTAGTAATCAGAACAGGTGAAAAGCCGAGTCTGCTAATGAAAATTGTTAAAAACATCTCAGCATTTTTTCTTAAAAACATTGTCAAGTCTCAAGTGATGGTGACTGAACAAGGCTCCTTTGCAGTCATTATATCCTTCCTTAATTTCTAAGCACCGCCCCTCCATCTCTGAAAGCACGCTCAAGGAGAAGGTACTCATCAGTCTCTGTCACTTTCACTGCTGTCTCCTACAGCAAATGAAAATGAACTGAATTTAAGGTGCAGTCTAAGGCTGCAGCATTGATGTCATCTCTTGCTGGCATTTTTAAAAGCCTTCCGGAATTAATCAAAAAAATATCAACATCATACAGCTCACTGGAATCTCAGAAAATGCACATGTATAAAAGGTTTCTTGATTCCCTGTGGGTTTTTTTTTCAGTGATGTACTTGCATCTGTTTTATTCTACACATACACCTGGAGACAAATTCCACTTCTGCAAACAGTCTCTAAGGTCTCAGAACTACCAAAAACAGGGCTACAGTCCTCTGTGATCTCTCCAGGGCCAGGGAAATGTAGCAGCAGGCAGACTCACCTTCACAGGGGTTTTTTTTGGTTTTGTTTCCAATAGTTCAAAATAAGGTATAGAGAACACTTTGAAACCACCTGTAAAAGCATCACAAATAACCTATGCTTAATTGATACAGGTTTACCCCTCTTTTCCGGACTAAAGCAACCAGTTCAATGTTCTGAGTGTCACTAATACCTGCAGTGAGTAGGCGAAGCCGTAAACCTGAGGGTCCAGTTCCGTCTCTCAGAACGTCAACGTTCTCGGCATACACATTACCAAGGAAACAGCTGAGAGGCATCAAGGGAGCCCTGAAACCAATCACACAAAAACATGCATAGGATTCACTCAATCTTCAAATTTTCCATTAACAAGCTGGTACCAGTTCACTGGAACAGAGCACGTCAATTTTGACAAAGCTGCATTTAACTCACACTGAAGACTGAAAGTTATATTAAACCTAAGGATCAGAAAGTCTGGGGAAAAAGGAAGAGAAACAAGGCAGCACTCAAATGCAGGACCTTTACTACCAATGAAACAAACAGCAAGTTTCAGAGACTCCAGGAATTATGGAAACTGTATCTAGCCTTTGGATACCTCCTATGAGGTGTCATCTCAGACTTCTGTCAGGGAAAATAGAGGTTGTAGAGTTTTTAAAGACACTTACTCCTTGATTTAGGCATATCACCCAAATGCAGCAGAAAAGCCTCTCCATGATGCTCTCACTGCTCTTGGGAAGGTACTCCATAGCCCAGAACATGAAATCAGCTTATGCAGGGATACCACAAACAATCAATCGTGCTTCTTTACTGGGAAAGTTCTTATTTTAATTCAATTACAGTAATACTTGAGAAAATAACAACAGCCCCAAGTAAGATATTTCCAATGGAATGGCTGCTTTTTTGTGTATTAGTTTGTATACGCTCTGTAAAATTCACTGTTCTTAGGTGTATTTCTCCTCTGCATGAATGACTTGAGCTAAAACACAGGCTCTGAACTCTCATACACACATATTACAGAGCCCCATGCGACAATTAGTGCTTTCACTAAAGCCCCACCATGTCACAGATGGGCACAGACAACACATTTTTCTGAAGTGCACTTATTTCTAATTAGGAGACAATGTCTGCATAAACAAGGTTCCCTCCCTTCTGAGCAGTAATCCAAGGATGTGTTAAATCCTCTCCTGGCATTAAAACACAACTGACTCTGCAAAAACTACCACCTTATCAGTTTGGGTAGTTATAAGCTGAAAGGAAGAATTTACAGAAGTCCTTTCAATACTTCCTTGAGTAAGGAACCCCAGGAACAATGTTTTTAGAAAGAGCAAAACATCAGATGTTGTACAATAAATTACTGCTTAAAAGAAGACAGAATACAATACCATACAAACCATTAACCATATTAAAATATAACTATTCCATTAGTATTAAGGCATGAAGATTAGTTTTCTGAGAATAGTAAGTTCAGTCAGGTAACTACAAATATATTGAATATATGGTAGATTATGCATATGGCTTAAGCCTGAAAACACATATTTTATTGTTTTTGTATAGTGAGAGAGTTTAAGACCCTTGGTAGGACCCTGCCATGACACACATACTACCAATACACTACAAAATTACTGACTGCCTACACCAAATTTGATTTGCCTAGAGAGAGGTCATTAGCATGCAAACAAAATCTAGATTAAGAATAGCCTAACCGCATCTCTTACTGGATTCACTACATTTCCTCCTTTACATAATTAATTCATTTTCAGGTCAATTGAATTAGCCTACTAGAGCTGAGCCAAGCTGTTTTTATAGCAACATAAATCAAGCCAACATTTGATTATATGGTCTGAGGACAACGCCTATGGAAATTGAAAGAGGTTGGTATCTAAAGGCATTCTGCACACTACCAAATTCATAAAAGACTCAAACTGAACTAAAAAAATGTATTATTATATTCAGCATTCACAAAACCCTAAATAAATGCGGAAGAAAAAGTATATTCTAAATTATCAAAACAGCACGACTAGCTGTACATACTTCGTATCCTGCAGACTGTTTCCGTTGTAGATGTACATACGTTTCACAGTCGCACCATGTGGAATTTGCAGAGAGGCTAGACCATGGGCAAAGTTAGGCTGTGGATATACAACATCATTCTTGTTACATGACACAGTAGACACTTAAGGCCAAAGTTATAAATTACTTTAGAAATATAATATATGCTTACCAATTTGGATAAGTCTCTAGCCAAAGACAAGGGGGAAAAACTACAATAAAACGCCGTTCTAGATGGTGGTTTTTTACGTTATGCCACTCCTGGATTCCAAAGCTGGGTTGAAACACTCACTATGTTTCTCCACCAAAAGATGGCACTAGTCTGACAATTAGCCATGGTATGTACTGAGAATTCACATTTTCTTGGTTTGATCACTGGCACTAGCAATGTAAAGTATTCGTACTGATACGCTGCATTTAAGTTCTAAGAAATTGGCTATCTTAAAGGTAGAACTTCTTTTTTTCTCACCCACTGCATTAATTTCAGCCTTTTAACATTTTTGCTGGTTTGTAAAATGCCTTTATCTGATGAACAGACTCATTCATTAAATAATTTTCCGCTCTCCTTATCACCACATTCTTACACATATTGTTTTGATAGGGATTTTGAGCGTTCTCATCAAATAGAAAGCGTGCTAAGGAAGTCAGGTTCATTCTTCTAGTGCGGTTAAGAGCCTATTTCTTTCAACTCTGAAGATGACAGGACCTTCTTGAAGACGGCCAACATACTTTGCTGGCACTGGACAGAAAAGAAACTAACGTTGTCACAAGCAGTCAACAAAAACATGATGCACAATATGCAACTATTATCCTGGTCTACTTTAGCAGGACATCATGTAAGGTAAACACAAAAAGTTACTCTTACGGAAAAGAAAAAAAAAAATTAACCCAGAGCAATGACTTTCACTGCTGTAGGTATTTAGAAGGGAACGTCCACTACTTTGCAAATCTAGAGATGCCCTGATTTCAATCCTCTTTCTGAATTTGCCCAGAACATGAATACCTCAAAACACAGCTTTATAAAGTAGTCAGAATTTAGATTACTTTTAAACATACTTATGCCTTAGCAACAGAGAAATCTCCTCCAGAGCCATGGAAGCGCCTGGGCCACATATGCCTCATTTCTTAACAGAAACAGTGCAAGTAGGCTTTCATGTTCTCCTCACCTGCAGTTTGTCACCAGCTATATAAAAAAGCCAAAGTTTTCTTCAGAGTTTTTTCATTTCCATAAGCAGAGATTACACCGCTTTGCTAACTAATTTAGCATTCCTATATGATCCCCTCTGAACTTGAAAGATTTTGACATCTTCAGATTTCATTGAACTCTTCGGTCTTTCCTAACATTCCTCCCCGAAAGGCTCCACAAACAGTCATCTTCCCTGTGGACTGTTTCATACTACTGTGTTTTCTAAACTATCCTACTTCTACCTATTTAAAATCCTGGGGAGAATTTCACCTTTCACTCTGTGCAAACAGCATTTTACTAACCTCATTTGAACAACTGGATGAAAGACTTTGAGACCGCAAAATTATTTTCTCCACTGTTCTGGCAGCTATGAAGAACTGTATCATCCCCAAGAACCACACTATGTCCCTCTCAAAGCATATTTGCACCAAGCATTCTGTAACTATCCCTAATTGTTTTCTTAGTTAACTGAACCAGGTACCAAAACAAGACACACAGATGCAATGGCTAAAATTGATTCTAGCATTTTTATTTTAGTATCTTTTAGTTTTAGGTAGTCCTCAAGGAGTAGGGAGTTGGACTCCGTGATCCTTGTGGGTCCCTTCCAACTTGAGATATTCTATGATCTTTTCAAATCTTCGGTGTAACAATTGACTTTCTTAGCAGCTCAGCCATTTCATTCATAAATACCCTGGGAACTTTTGCATGAAAAGCACCTAGTCTTTGTTGGGACATTCTTTCTGTTTGGCTTATTATGTTTCTATTTACCTTCCAGTATTTCTGAAGCCCAACTGACCTTCACTACTGCTAAATAATAACTTCCCCTAAGGTTACCCCCTGTTCTCTCACATGTCAAAACACAACTACTAAAGTACTAGGCTGTGACATAAGAACATGTGTAATCATGTTGGTTGTCTTCTTCCACTTCGCTTTGGCTCTCATATGCTCCTTCTTATTTACCATACAGCATGCATTCTTTTTAACTGATGAGCCTAGATAATACAACTGAGGGCACTTCCATCCTCACAGAAAACAGGTTATATGTACAGTTTTGTTAGTATAAGTGGAAATCACGGAAGACCTGATCTTGTTTCCACTACAGACAGTGATTTCCAAAGATTTCAGAGAGCACAATAATATGTTCAATTATTCAGTAACTCATCAGAACATTTGGTGAATACGCAAACAGGCATTACAAATTAAGCTCATTCATTTGGCTTTCTAAAAGCGCTCATACTGAAGGACACTTAAGATGAAGGACGCTTAAGATGAAAATGTATTTTATGAACTCTCTCCTAGTTTAGTTGCATAATCACTTTGATGAGATTCAAAAATATCTGATAAAAGAACAGCCTTCCAGTAGATTGCTTAATATTCACGTATTTGCATAGACACTGCTTGTATTTTTAGAAGACTCCTTTCAACAACAGAATTGCTAGTCCCAGTTCATGATACAAGCAAAACCTCTCAGCATATGCCTTCTGCTAAAAGGAAGAAAATGTTTAACTTCAACATGATATCACAGCATGAATAAGAGCACAGCTCAGGAGTTAAATTCCTTCCAAATTACTGGTTTCTTTTGCTTGCAGGCGAGACACACTGTAGGTGATATTTCGCAAGTACCATAGCAGCAAAAGGTCTATCCATTAACTAAGAATGATTGCTGACCTCGTACTTCGGAGTTTCAGTCCAGGAGTCTAACTGAAAAGAAAACGACAGTCCTCTGAAATTGAGGTGAAAGAGTTGCTCAGCTGAATTATACACTAAAAGGGAAAAGAAAGTAAAAACAGAGTTACCAAAATAAACTAAGAATTTTCCAGTTCAGATCTAACAGCACTTTCATCACCTCAGTGAATTTACTACATCTCAAGATGTGGGAGGAACACAATTACACTAGACAATAATAGTTTTGCTTTTAATTTGTTGCAGTAGAAACATACCAACAAGAGAAACCTTAGATTCATTAGAGCTGCCTATGCAAGCCTGTAGGCACTAACCTATCCCTAATGATACAATTATACAATGACACAATCAATTATACCTTAATATCCCTAAAGGAGTTTAAACAGCCACTATTAGTACAAAACAATTCTGTTCATTGTTACGTGAAACACCTGTACAGTATCAACCAGAAAGTTTTTTAGACAGATGTGCCCCAGAACGCTGATAAATTCCATATTTCACACCACCAGGAAGCATGTTCCCGAGTGGGAGCTCACAGGTACCTCCCTGCCACTTCCACCTCTCTTCCCAAGAGGAGCTCTCGCTTGCATGCCCCAGTTCAGATACCTGCATTCCTGAGTAATATGGCACAACAAGAAAATGCTTCAGACATGCAGGTCCTAGGCCATTTATGATGATAATTAAAAATAGTATCATCAGAAACACCAGCTGATTGGTCAGCTTTTACAAAAAGCAGCAATACATTAGAACACACACAGACTTCCAGCTGTCATCACGTCATGAGATGTCCTGATTTACTGCAATAAATTGCACAGCATCAACTATAAACAGCAATAAAAGTCACCCCAGTACTTACTCTAACCAGACATACTATTTTGCGAGACTGTGGAATGCTTAAAAACAACCCCAGGAGACTGGGAGCTTGGGAACAGCTTTGGGATTGATGCTACCGAACTTCAACCTGTGCCCAGTAGCCACTGGGGGGAATGCAGTGTTCTTGTACCACACAGAAATTGGTTCATTTGCAAAACAGTCTGAAAACAGCAGAGGCAAAAAACAATAAGGAAACACTGTAACAAGAGAAGCTGCTTTCTTCCACTTTACCAAGGGAAACCAGTTCAATATCCCCCTTTTTTCTTACAATTTTATATTTAAGATGACATAGCATAGAGAGAAAAATGCATATAAATATCCCCCCCAAAGTGCCTTTCAAACCTTCAACTTGAGACACATGTCACAAGGTATCTGGACAATGCCAGACCACCCAGGATAGAAAAATAATAGTTGAGCAATAAGCATTAAGCTTTCAAAAGTCATCCTTTGCCTTTTCTGCAGAATGTGCTGGTTAAGAGCATTTTCCCTGCTTGTCGCTCAAAGGAAAACGTGTGGGGAGAGGGAAATGTTTTGATCTGCAGGAAAATTACACAAATATCTCTCATGTGATAAATTATGATGCATCTTTTCCAAAGCCCAGAGCCAGCTGGAGAAGTGTTTTTCCCCTAGTCATGCCAAGTGTGATATCTGATTATATAAATCACATCAGTTCCCATCCCCTGCAATGTTTGTTGATGTTTAGGCTTAAAGGGCAAGGAATGTTTTTATCCTTATGAAGTTCTCTCATGTATCCCTCAAGACCATATGTCACAGCCACCTGACTGAACAAGGTAAGACTGTTCTTTATTATTATTTTTTTAAATTTATTTACTGCAGAATACTTTCATTCAAAATTGCTGATAGAAGCAAAAAGACTGCTTCTTTGCTGCTGCACTTTGGGTGAAGGAAGGGAAGAGAGTCTGCCTTCCAGGAAAGCAGCAGAGTGTGACCAGCTGGAAAACATTTCTGTAGAGCAGGACAGGACAAAGCCACTGACACCAGCAAGCCAGCACAACAGACACAGTCCTGATAAAAGCAGAGGCAGATCCAAAAGCCAAGTCTTCCTGGTGTCAAGCACAAGACCCTTCTGGCACCTCAGGGGAGACTGGGCAACCTCTGAAGTCTCCGAGACTTGCAGAGCTAGAAGACAGGACCCCCCCCAATCCTTGCAAGGTCACTGTGGCAGGAGGGAAGGATGGTTTTTTTCCTTCCATCTTATGATTTCAGTTCAATTCCCCAGCCCTTATCCATGCTGAATGGCACTTCGGCAAACAGCCACATCCACAAGGACTCGGAACAGGATGTGATTTCAACAGAACCACTGGCAAGAGCAAGCGCTCCCCAGCAGGAGGTCAGGTCAGAGAATCATGGAAATGTGGGATACAATCTTGGCTTGGATGAAGCTATTGACCTCCAAAGTGGTCATATTTCAATCAGCCCCATGACAAAGATAATACCATGTTTCAAACTAACATTAGCCAAAAAGTAATTAAGATGGTCGCAATTTTCCTGACAACTCTTCTTTTTTAAAGCCACTGATTTGGCATAACCAAAACTGCTCACTGAAGGTCGGTTTCAACACAAAACCGTTGCTAACCTTTTGAAATATGTTTTGAAACTATCACTGCATCCTGTTGCCGGAAAGTTCTGCTGCAACCACCTTGGTTTTAAGTAAAAGACAACATTTTGTTTGAAATTCTAGTGGTGGTTAACACAAATAAACAACAAAATACTCTTACACTTAAAGGACTTGCATTGGGGTTTTGGAGGAGTAGTGGTACAGAGAAGAAAAGGGATAGTTATGTCATACTTTCATTCATGAAAACTGGCATTTGGTACTTTGGTCACATTAAGAGGAAGGTTTCTTTTCCCACCTTTCTCTCCCCACCCCACCTCAAATTTTTGTGGGACATGAAAACACCGTCATCATCCCTCCCACGTACTGAAAACTATTCTGGTTTTTTGCCTTTTCTGTTTCAGAAAATACAAAGAAAAAAGTTATCATCAAAAACTTGCACTGCACAATACAGTTCAAACTGTTTATGACAGGCAGCTTAATAAAGAGCATTTAATTCTGCTAAGTAGGCTACTAATGGAAGATACCAAATTTCCAGTGAGGAAACTGAATAAGCAAATGCACTAATGAAATGGTAAGAGGCCAATATTTTAATAAATACATTTTCATATCTACATGTCACTGGATGAAAAGATGTTATGAAAAACTATCATCAGCTGAAGCAAGTGCGCAAGTTTTCTTAATTGAATATGACAGGCGCACAAGAACTGGCAAATTCAGCATGAAGACATGTGGTGCCAAACTATGTTTTTTAAGTGCTTGCACAGAATTTTATGCAGTAATAAAACATGCTATTTCTATCATAAGCAATGCTTACAGCTCAGTATATATTTTTACGGTTCATAATATCACAATTTTGCAAGCACTTCACCTCTAAATATTTACAAATAAACCACTGTCACAGAACAAGTAAATATTATACACTGTCAAGGATATGGAACCACTTTCACCCTTCCCAGATTCTACATAGTCTGTCATACATACTATTATCATAATAGATCTAACTATAGATCTCAGAGTTTCTGCCTAAGAAGAAACGTTAAGATCATGACCGAAGTGAAGTTTAAAAAGGCCAGTTCTGGTCCTTGGAGTATTATGGCTAGAAATCCAAGATTCATTTATCTCAATCTGATATTCATCTACTACAGCAGGCTTTTAAGCAATGATGTTACTTTAGCCACATGACCCTCTACAGTTAATAAATCCTGTTCCGTAATGTGCAAGAGATTGTCTGCAGAAAACACGGACAAAGACTGGATATGCAATCGCCATCAATCACAAAAAACACTAGCCTATTTGGGATCAGCCTGACTACTGCAAATGGACTGGGTTAAGCTAAAAACAGAAAATGATGCTCTAAAAAAGGTATGTTGCCTATATGGAGTTAATCATCTTTCTTGTTATGCCAGTTTGTGGCTCCATTTCTTTAAAGTTTCTGAGCAGTTTTATTTTAAATATCCTCTTCAAAGTTTCACCACTAGCTTATATTCATCACTTACCAAACCCCTGAAATACACTCTCCATTCTCATATGTGAACAAGGAGCTTAAAGATAGTCTTTTTCCTGCTACAGAGGTGGTGAACAGCCAAGTAGCTGTGCAAGAGTCAGAGTGGGTTCAGCCAGGTTAATTAAACTTGTCCTGGTTCTGGTCGTGCTGCACATCAGCTGGCTTCACACCTCCCCAGTGCTCCCAGTAACAGGAAGGAGGCACAGGGAGATGGAAGCCAGTTATACACAGGCTCAGACTTGATCCTGCCCTAGCAGGGGTATAACTACGTTCTCAGAGCACGGAGCCTTAGCAAACAGTCCTGGCTGACTCTGCACAGAGATCGGCTCAAATGACTGTACGTTCATGGTATACTTAATCCCTAAGAACATTTGAGAGCTGACCATGCATAAGAATGTGTAAAAACAACAGCATCAACAACAAAGCTCACAATTTTCTGGTACTGGCAGTTCAAAACAGATCATTAATGATCTCTGAACACACCATTCTGTGCCAATGACTCTCTGCCTCACTATTTCACTTAAAGTCACAACTGAACTTACAGTACATTTTACATGATATCCCAGCAATAAGAATACAACCATTCTGGAACACAATTTCAGATCATTTGACAATAGAATTGTCTACACATTTCTCTAGGCAGACATACAAGGAAGACTTCCTGGAAAGAAGTCTGTCAATCTAGGTGTGCTTCTCAAAAAGACTTACCTCCTGGATGTGTTGCTCCAAATGACTGATCAATTTGTTCTATAGTTGGAGCAATTGCCTGAGAGTTAAAATGGACACCACTGAAAAAGAAAACAAAATTAATCTGTCTTAAGAATATTGAACGGATGCTACAAACATTTACTAATAGCAATACCACATTTAAATTGGAAGAAGTCTTCAAGACTGAAGGAAAGAGTAAACTAGTAATTTCACCAAGTGCTATGTTCAAGAAAGGATAATTATCTACATTCTTTTTTGACAGTTATTTTGGTTTTTTAACAAGAATGAGCGAAAAAATTAACTCAGGATTAAAAAAAAATGAGAAGGCAGTCACTCTAATCAATCATGGGAGGTCTTAAATCACTTACCAATATTTTAACTTCACCTTAGTCAAGTCATAAACTTCAATCACCTGAAACACAGGAAACAGAAACATTACCATACTTCACACATTTGCAAATCATTACAGAGGCAAATTCTTGTCAAAAGGCAAGACTAGCTAGTGCTGCTCGCTCTCCTCTTTAACAGAACTCTGCTAGAATAAATCACATTGACAGAGATGAAACTCCAAAAACTTGACTCAGCAGCTGCGCATCTGAAACAAATCCTGAAGAACAACGATGGGTTCAGTACAGTACCTCCAGATCTTGTGTAAATCAGCACTGACTGGCAGAAAGTAATCTTTTCACTAATACATCAGCACCTTGATTTCTGCAAAGATTACTCCTCAGCAAGTTCAAAGGAAAGTAATAGCAAAGGTTAGCTAATTAAGGAATCCTCTAATGAATGTCAAACAGTAGGCCATTCCTTGGGTTGCTTTTATTACCCTGAAGAATGCCTGTGCAGGGTAGTTAAGTCCTAGCACTGACTGCACTGTTCTAACCTTCCAACTCCTTCTAAAGTAAAAGATGAACACAGCAAGACTAAGTAGTAGTATTCCATTTCAATACTACATAAAAAGACATCTAGCAATCTCTCCAAGCATTACAGAAGACAATCAAGAGAGCAGGCCACAAAGAATCAGAACAAGCCATAATAGCTAGTTCTGATATTTATTAAATATTTTAGACCTTACTGAATATTCCAAGGAGCTCCCCTCTCTGCAGACAATATTAGGTATGGATCCTTTGTTCCGAACACATTACTGCAAATGTGCATCCAAGATTGATTTTTATGTGACTGTTACTGGATCTTGAGGCTAGACTGGGCTTTAAGCAGATCATTTTTGGCGACTAACCATTGTCAAACACAAGCTTCTTCCACCCTACATACGTGTTCCTGTGTCAGCAGGAAAAGGAAAATACGTAGAACACATCATAACTGCTGTAAAGAAAAGGTAAAGCACTTGTTATGCTTTGTATAATCCTCCAACAAATCAGTGGCAGATTTAGAAAGGCCTCACTCTTCAGTTATGGAATAAAGCAGAATTGCCCAGGGAGCTTCCTACCAAATGTGGCTTTAAAGCCTAAAAATATCATCAGCTAAGAAGGAAGTCTTGGTTTTGGGAGATGCCCAGCAAATAACCCTAAATAAAACAACTTGCAAAGCTTAAACCACCATCTTACAAAAAAATTAAAAAAAAAAATAAAAAAAATCAACATTTAATGGTATGCTGTTGACTCATAAAAAGTTGGAAGAGTTCTCTGAAGCACTTTGTTTGCTCAGGAAACCCACACATTTCAGGATATAAGCAACAAGTACAGCACAAAGCAAGTAACAAATGAACATTCTGGCAAAACCAACATAAAGAAGAGCAAACAAATTTTTCTTCTTAATAAATATACTTTGAATTATGCTTCTTGAAAAACTTTGTTATCCAGTATTTTAATTCAAATGCAGTTTGACAAGTCCAGGTTTCCTTTACTGCACAGCTTGTTAAAAACAAAGGCTACTTTTATGAAAAGCTAGGAATGATTTTACATTTTTTTTAGTGACCTTGCACATCATCTTTTCCCCCATTCCAGAAAATGTTTCTTAAAACAGAGAAAACCACCCTCCCCAAGATCTAGTTTTGCAGCAACTACCAGAGAGCATTGGGCACTCTCCTGAAGTTCTGCTGAAACATGCTGCGGTGGTGGAAGACAAAAGGATGAGTCGAACAACAAAAAGGAGCAGTACATGAGCAATAGCACGTTGCACAAATGAGGTCCCCCATGAGAGAAACACCCTGACAGCAGCCAACAGGCACCGATTTGCCATCAGCCCTCCTCCCACAGTTCAGACAGATCTATTCACATCAACATTTCTTTTTACTAACAGCAGAGGAAGAAACAAGTGCAACTCAGCAAAATTTAAAGGTAGTCAAAAGATCTCATAGAAGTCATGAAAGACACATATTGAAGAAACACTGCAACAGGCCATAGCACTAGAAAAAGATTTATTTTTTAAACTACAGAAGCTACACTGATAGAAGGATTAACATGATCCTTTCTGTGTGCAGAAGAACAAAAACTGAAAAGACCAAGGACTATTCAGTGATGGGTTTACTACACAGCCAGAAGTCAGTTGGTTTAAATGAGTAAAACCTGATGTTTTGTCAGACTCAGTGTTTTGATAATTACTACCGAGTAAGACTCATAAAAACGTTCAGGTATGTACTAACCAGCAATAACAACAGACCAACACTCTGAAATCTGACTCTTTTTGACCTCAGAGGGAGCATGTGTGAGACCCCTTGTTGCTAAAATTCATAGCAATGTTTTCAGGACCTGGTCCTGGATCTAATCTTTCATGTTAGCTCATGTTAGTAACATCTCCTGCAGTGCTTTGGCTACTGAAGGTGAGTAGAGAGACTATGCACAAGCCTCCCTCCCCTCCCTGAAAAAAGGGAGGAAACTTTTTAGGAATATTGCTCTGGCTTTATTCCTGCACCAACTTCTTTGGATCTATCAAAACTTTCCATTTTAGTAGCCTGTATTTCAATCTCTTTCACAACCAAATCTAATAGCAAGTGTGTTTTAAAAAAAAACAACACACAAAGCAAAGAAAAAAAGGCATCCTGATTTTTCCAGTTTTGCTGCTGCTGAGCAACACTGAAAACACAGTCATAACATCTTAAAACTAGGCATTACTTACTCTACACCTACACTATTCTTTAACAAGCCCTCTTGCTCACTTCTGAACTGATCCCATAGAATTTCTTCTATAAAGAAAGCTTTCTGAACACTTTTACAAGTATAAGTTTTCATAGCATTGCATGCATTTACATAGCTTTACTCTTCATAGTTCAAACAAACGGTATCACTAGACCAGAAAAGTGATACTACAAGATACCAGAAAAGATAATTTTTAATATTTTTTTAAACAAACCTAGAAACACATACCAAAAGAGTTGGGTTTTTTCCATTTTTTTTTTTTTTTTTTTTTTAAAAAAAACGTTGGGGAAAAAAAGGGGAAAAAAAGCTCTTAGAACACTGGGTGTTGAAATGACAGCCAAACCCTCAAAAACTGGAGATGAAGAGACATGGCATACACTATTTACAGCACTTCAGAAACACTACAAGACTGCAACATTCAAAAAAGTGTCAGTAAGCAAGCCATGCACTTGATTATGTCAGTTTTGAGTTCAGCCTCCTTAAGAATTAAATATATTTTGGAAATATTTTGTACAGCAGGTGTAGCTTAACTGATAAAGATCTGTCTGACACAGAGACTTTTCAAGATATTCTCTTAAAAATTGTAAATTCGCATATACAATCTGAATAATTAAGTTCTAAATCTTGACAAAAATAAAAATCCCACTATTACAGAATGACTTCATGAACAGAAACTACCATAAGGCAATTACAAACTGAAATCTAGCAAAAAAGTGCCCAGTTGTCCCCCATCTGAGCTCAATTTGAACTGAAAATTGCTCTTCAAAATGTGTACTTTTATAGTTAATATAAAAGAAATTTTGAAAAAGAAAAATACAAAGTACCATGGTGTAACAGGTTACTACTAGAGAAATAAGTAGTTCCAACAGCTACTAATTTGGGTTGGTATTCAATTTTATGTATACATTTAAAGTACATGAAGAGCTCAAGTTTCAGCTGATGGCACGCTGCTACACTCTTACAGTCATTTGGGGGATAAAGCCCTAGGCTGACATTTTGGAAAGTGACGTTTTGCTGCTGGTTTTATTGGAGACGTGAGTAAGGGGAACAAGGTTAGCAAGGGGACGTTAGCAACCAGCTTGCCCTTTATTTTGCATCTTAATTACACAAAGCATCCTAGAGAGAGGCGGATCAACACTGGGTCACCTAAAAGCACAGAAGCAGAATTGCTGGTCTGAGGACTTCAATTGCAAGAATAAAAACTCATCCAGAACAAACGGAAGTCAGTGCAGGAGTCAGCTGCTCACAACAGGCCTGAATGTGGCTTTCTGGGAGAGATCATGCACTCTAGCCACACAAGTATCCTGTGAACCTAACTCAACTGAAAACTAAGAATAGGAGGAAGTAAGTTTACTTTCAAAAATAAAATGGCAGCACAGATAAAGGAACAACCTGGGCAGAAAACAACAGTCTGGTTTGCATTAATTAACCAATGATCTGATTTTAAATCCTAGGCTTAGCTTTAGTAATGGCCTTTCGCAGCTTCTGCTGCGACTCGAGACAAGATGGACAAGTGAGACCACACTGGACCATCATACTCCTGTGGCACTCTTACAGTCCCTAGTACAAGGTTAAAGCATCTTAAACCTCTAAACAAAGATGTAGCCCCCAAACTGAAGAAATACAGTTCATTATCACAAGAGAGCAGTATATACGGCAAATTAAATGTCTGAAAGAACCACATACTTAGAGTCTGTTAAGTGTCAATATCTCCTAGGCTTTTGGTTTGCATTGTTTTGTTTGCAGGAAGGGTGTTTTATTACCTTAAGTCTCTGATTGAAAGCATCAAACAGCAGTTTGATTCCATCCTGAGTCAGGTTAAGGATGAGGTCATGGCTAAGAGGTGACTGTAAAACAAAAAAAGCTGTTAAGCTTTTAATTTCAAGGCTTCTTTGTTAAGATACATATCATTGTATAAGTATAAATTGGTTACTTTGGAAAAACAAAACTGCCTCAGAAAATCACCACTTGTTCAACAAATAAGCATACCGAAAATACATTTGGCCAAACCTCTCAAACACTTCAGTTTCCTTATGAAAAGAAATAGAAGTGCCTGTGTAAGATCTGCATCCTGCAAGAACTCCCAAAAGGGTAGTTGTCCATTACTTTAATGGGGGGGGGGGGGGGAAGGTGCAGGGATGGACAGGGAACAGGATGACAGACACAACCACCTTGAACATTAACATTCCTAGCTTAGCATCAAAGACATCACGCAGGGACAATCTTGCATTTTTGGCACACAATAATAAAAGCCCATCTCACCAAGTCCCACATCAGAACCAAGTGTATACTTGACAAAAAGATGGTGAGAGGGCTTTCCACTTCAAAAATCAAAGAGTGTCACAGTCTTTTTCAGGCCTCAAAAGGAAAGCTTCAGGCCTTTATGTTGTGAATTTAGGTTTCCTTAGTTACTGTGAATCATAACAACTAAAGGCTTAATTTGCAGTCTGCTGGAGTCAATAGGAGACATTCCACTGGCTTCACTGGTGTCTGTATAGGCTCTACGCCATCTCAGCCTGCTGCGACACTGTGGAAGCTGCTCACTCCCGTACTGGTACAATCCATGCATACAGTCAATTGGCCCTAATTCCGCTATTTGATCACGTACCATCTAAAGCACATTTGCTTCAAAAAGCTCTACCCTCCACAACTGTCTCCTCAGAGGAGAAAAAAGGCTGAATGACAGGCAGGCAGCAATACTCATGCCCTAGAACTGCACCAAGCAGTTATCTAGCAAAAGACAGAATGGGGATGGGACATCTGGGACATGTACAGGCTTCTAATGCAGGCAGCCACACCATACAGCCCTTTTTATGAATTAAGCAAAAGGTACCTTAAAAACTGCTACTCTCCCCTTTGTTCTACTGGGAGAAGGACTGTGTTTTGACTGTCAGGAGTCTAATTTTCATCCTAAATTTTCTCACCTCTTTATTCTCACATCAGCACTGTCTTCTAGCCTGGATACTTTTTGTGCATTTTCACATGCATCTCCCAGCCCTTCCCAAACCACATATTTAAGTAATCAGATCCTAGACTTCACATCACTAGGTCAAAACAAACCACAGGGCTTTCAGTCCCCTGTGATGCAGATTTCCCATTCCCCTTGATCGCTCCAGTAGCTTTTCCTGAAGCAGATTCAGTTCAAGCTCATTTTTCTTGAACACCGGTGACCTGGTGTGTTAAGCTGTCTTCTCAATGAAATCTTCACAGCGCCTTGCACAATGGCATCAGTACTTCACTATTGCTGGCAAACTTTTATGATACTACGTAGAATTGAAGCAGCACTGCGATATAGCCATGTGCCTGAGACAAAAAGGTCTAATGTTGATCCTGAAGCTCTTTTTTAAATCCCTTATAAATCTAATTTAGAAAGGCTACAGATAGAGCAAAAAGACTTGTCATGTTGCATTTAAATATACCAACAAAGTTCTTCTGATATGGGATACACCCTGCATTTCACTGGTTTCTAAGTAGAATTTTCATAAGGTTATTCCAAAATGAATGAGAGCATTACAAGTACGTTTGAGTGGGTGGGGAAAAAAAATTGAGGAAAAGCTTGATAATTATTACAGCAAATAGCTTCTGTTCTATGCTGGCATATTTTCTAATAGAAGAAAAGTTTCAAGGGTCCAAATTTAGTTCCTGCGACTTAATACACAAAACAGAACCTCAAGAATGAAAGATGATGCCAGGAAGCAACAGAAGAGTCCTTCCTGACAGAAGCAACTCAGATGTGCAGTTACACTGCTAATCTACACAAAGCTGCAGGAAAAACTGCAATCACCGAACAATCCCATCAACACAAATCCAGAGGAAGAGGCTTAGGAAAACATACAAAGGCAATTAAGTACCCCACTTAAACTGACCAAAAAGGAGTTAAAATTCTTTAGTCACAGAAAAGGGTTCATCAAGCTTTTTGGCACAGTTTGGGCATCCCATTTATGTCAAATTGAAAAGAGAGCCGTGGGCAGATCTAATTGCATTTAATTGTCATATAAATTTTTGAAAGGAAATACTTGCTGCTGGAGTTCCAGAATCAGAAATTCAGCAATTTAGATGCAACAACTTTCAATAACATTTGATCACTATGCTCAAAGGCATTCTTTTAGAAAGCAAAGAGGAAAGATATGAAGGCTGCTCAGGTATAGCTTAGCTAGATAAAAGTTGTGCATGGCAAAGCTTACTTAAAGCTTTGACTCTTCCAAGAGCTGCAGCAGCAGGTCTTTGTGCTCAGCTGCCAATGAAGTACATGATGTTCTGCATGAGGGTAAGGATATAGCCAGACAGTCAACTGCAGGCCCCGAGTGGCATATGGAAAAAAATGCACCGGTATCAAGCACTGAATTGGAATAATATACAGAAAAAATATCAGCAGCACTACTATTCCACAAAGTTGAGAACTACTATTTTGTTGCACTACGCAGATGTTAAAAATATCTTTACATTTATTACAGCTTGGGGAGAAAAACCCTACACCCTCCCCTGCCTTCCAGATAGAAAATTCAGTGTACATGGTCAAGCACAATGTAGCTTTCCAAGAGGCATAAAAAGCCAAGCAGCAGTATACCTTGCTTTCTAGCACTACACCACTAATCCTTCTGTGATTCTACAAACCTGGGAGGAACAGGAATCTCATAATTTATACAAACAAACCTGGAAATAATTCCGGAATGCACTGTGGTAAGAAAAACTAACACCTCAAAAGCATACAAAAACCAAGGAATGCATTCACTGCCAGACAGGTGCTCCCATGCCTTAAGTACAAGGAGCTAGATTTTCAATTTGCAATTCAGTCATCATAAACCCCATAAATTACAAAGATCTGTCATCTACAGCATATGAATATGATCTTCTGATTAACGTGCATTTCACATAATACACATTTGGAGAGTCACAATACTCCTTTGTCCTATCTCCTCTTCCCTTCCACTTCCTTCAAAGTAAAGGTGGGTATACACCACATTTTATTTGATCTAGCAGAAAGGTTTCACTTCTAGTCCCCTTTTTGGTGGAAGTCAAACATGTTAGGGACGTAATGCTTAGTTATGAAGAATGTTTAAAACATCTACAGCTGGTTTAAATTATTGCATCCACTTTCTGCAGACAAAATTGCAGATCCAGAGAGAAAGTGTGGAAGCCTTCTTAGGGGGTTCATCACCTCTGAACCAAACATGAAAGCAGAAGGTAATGAGCAATTCAGTACTTCAAAAATACTTGACAATGATAATGTAAAAAGAATAGAATTAAGTTATCCAACTAATTATAGAACATTTCCCTTCTTAAAGGAAAAACAATACTACCCCACCACTGCATATACAAAACTGACACCTGTTAAATCACTGCAATGTCCTGAGGATTATTACACTTGATGTGAAACCATTATAGAAGCTACAGCTCTGATGTGGTGGTAATTAATTTGGCATAATTCAATTTCAAGTAGCTCCACAGTTCATACAACACACACGTTAGCACGATGCAGTAGTAAATATACCCCCTAATGCCTTAATTCTGGGACACAATGAGGTGAATGACCCAGACAGACCATGCAGTACTCACCTGCTCACTGTAGAGAACCTGGACGTTTTTGATAATGCGACAGTGTTTCTGAAGAATTGCTACAGCCTGAGCCAATGGCATTCCTGTAAATAAAAACAGTTGCATTTCTTCAGTTTGGAGACCAGCTAACAGTGTTTTTCAACAGAAAGGTTACAGGTGAGTTAACAGAGCCGTCATCAGCAAACAGTACATTACAACAGAAAGGTATGCAATCAACAAATAAGCCTACTTGACTCATGGTATCAGCACAGGCCTGTTTTGTTTTGTTGTCTTTTTTAAACAGAAAAGTCATCGTTTGTCTATCAGTTTGTTAGGCATATATGAAAGAAAATTATCTCTAGCCACAAAATTAAATAGCAAAGTTCAGGCAGAAAATGCACAGATCTTTCTTCAATCCGTGCACAAAATTTTCTGCTTTTTGGGGTGAACAATCCAGTAACTGATAAAATAGCCTATACCAAACTCCACTAAAGCTGGCTAGAGCACTCCTATACACATTCAATAGGCTCCTGGACTGCATTTTATGGCATACCCTTTATCAAGATTGATAAAGTACTGAGTAGTTGTACAAGACAGATACAAATACTAAAACGGAGCAATGATTCTCCTTCGACCTAACTGGCCACATTAGCTGCTGATAGGGCTACACTTGTGTCAAGGAAGGAACTTTATCTTCTCAGTTTACAGACAAGATAAACGTGCTAAACAATTTGGTTCAATTGAAGTAATGCACTAAATAGTCATTCACCCGCTAACACAATTTCAAGGGCTTTTTTTTTGTTGTTGTTGTTTTTTCTTCAGTGTATATCTTATCTTTACAGCCATAAATTTTTGAAAGTGGAATGAAACAGCTGATTCTGCAGAAAGAATAGCACCACACCACCATCTCATCCTTTATCACACTTAAAACCTTTGTTGCCTTTCCAAATGAAATGTGATCGTGTTCCTGGATTCAAAGCAGGCATTTATAAAGAAAGGTTATGAGCTCATAATTGTGAAGTTTTATTTCCCTACTAATTGCTGCAAGTCAATTTAGATTAGTTATCTGACATTTTATTTACATTCCTTGCCCTGTTCTTCTCTATTTCTATTTCTAGTTTTTAAACATTAAGAAGGTTGCCTTGATTAGGGAAAATTTACCATGGGACCTACACTTTTATTTAGTTAACAGTTCAGGCATTCACATTTTTAGTTAATAGCCACACCTCTCAAACTCAGACTATACATCATGTTCCAAAGCACCTTTTAGACATTATCTACAGCAGCAAAGTGAGAAAACTCCCTCTCTCTTTCCATATATATATATACACATATATAAAAATCACACTCATGCCTAAATCACCATAGGTACTACTTTGATGTAAGGCTAGCATAACACTAAAAGAAAAAAATTATTTTCACTGTTGCACTAAACTACATGCCTGTCATGCCCACACATTGCAGGTTTTCTGCAATTATGAAATCAAGTTTTGGCAAAACAGGCTTACAGATTAAAACTACAGCGATTCAATTTGTAATTCAACTTGTAAATACCCTATACAACTGTTTCCGTGAAATTGTTTTTCACATTAGCCCATAATCCTGAAAACAATTTTTTTCTTTTGCAGCTAGAAATTATACACCAGAAGATGATATGAAATCAAAAAGAATAATTATTCTTTTAATAATGGTAATAAAATTAAAATGCAGAGAGCCACACAATAAAGCAGCACTGTTTCCTATTGTCTACGAAATGGCAGTTGCCTTGTAGTCTAAGCAGTTGATTTTTAAAAAGACAGTTATTATGCATTAGGTAGTATTTTCGAAGTGGAACAGAAACGTAAATAACAGCAAGAAGCTAAGCCAAAAGATGCTGCTGTGAAAGTTTCACACTTCTATCATAGTAAAAGCTATGATTCCAAAAGAAGTAAAGGTGATTTAAAAGCATAAAACCCATTTTCAAAGTCAGTATTCCTAGGAGACTTGCAGAGGCAAGACCATGAGCTCTTTTAAAAAAAACAAGTGGCAAAGGATCAAGCAAAGCCAGCAAACAAGCTGACAGAATCTATACGCTGATGGTAAGTGTCAGAAGCAGGTAAGGTTTCAGTAAAAAAGCATGTGGTTAAAAAAGTGAGCACAGACACGAAATTCAGTTTGTAGTCCGATGTAAACTGATGCAATCTTGGGTAAGTGTGCAAACAGATGGCTCATGTGACTCTCTTACTCAGAGCTTTCTCAAGCTGCAAGCAAATGGACATGGAATGATTTTGTTCAGTTTTCAGCAACTGAGAATCAAGCAGATTTTGCCACGCAGCTGCTTAGCAAAGCTACCATGAGCAACTTGGGTTCTGCAAACTGTTCTTGGAGAGCTTAAAACACGCGTGAAAGAGCCAGTATCCTTGCTTTGCCTCCATTAGCAGAGAGCCAAAGGAGGAGTAAAGAAACTGGGTTATTTTTACACATACACACACACACCCACCCCCCCCCACCCCCTTTTCCCCAACATTTGGCAGCTTTTGCAGTCAAAGAGGAAAACAAAGAATTCTTTTTCCCCTGCCCACCAGTCAGGGAGAATAGGGAAGCAAACATGGTTTCCAGCACATCAGATAGTCAACCACACTGAGCCATGGCAAATAACACCCACAGAGATCAGCGCTAGGACTCTCCTACCACAAACTTTTCCCTTTTCTAAATGCTGGAGTGACAGAAGTGACACAAGTCACTCCTCTCACATACACAGGTCATGAACAACATGGCTTGAAGCGTTAGCCTATACTAAGACTGTCTTGAAGGGCAGGAGGGTAGAGGAGTGAATAAAGATTAGAAGAGAAGAATACAAGAAATCCAAGAGAAGATGAATTGTAACATGTTAAATAAAGACAAGTGAAACTTAGTAGGAAAAGAAAGTATAAAAAGCAAGAGAAATGCAAGTATGCCTTAGAAATTATACATCTCAAATGCTAATAATACAGCTATAGGCACTACAGAATAAGTATTTAATTGTTCTCCTTTAAAATGGCAGGAATGTAGCCCGAGAGGTGCAGTGACACAGGTATCTAATTGAACACAAAACTCAGCCTCAGTTAAATTTTTTATGCTCTGGTCACACAATGAGTCAACACTGGAGCCAGAAACAGAATCCAAAAACTCATGTAAAAAATTTTCCTGGCATTTCCCCTCAGTCATCTCCATTGTGGGCACAATACTGGAAGCCAGAGTCAGCAGCAGTTTAGGAATACTGCCATTAGTTCTGCTAAGAGCAGATCTAAACAAATGATGAGTAGAATACCGCTGGCAGCGAGAATCCCATTTACACCGGTGCTTCCAACCTCGCTACCACTAACACAGCTGAACCAGCTTTATCAGCAGGGACAATTTTCATACAGTATCGCTAGCGCAGGACAAAGTTAAGTATCTTAATACCTAGTCAGCCTCCTGCTCTACACCAGCAGGTCATGCTAATTATATATTAGACACATCACGTGGTGGCTATGTTTACTCCAAGAATTACAGCTGAGTTTCCTCTCTCACATCTATCCATGTGTGTACACACACATAGACAGAGAGACAATATGTAATTTTAACCATGCGACTGCATTAACGGGCTTCTTTGGGGGTTCTTGGGAAAATGAAAATCATTTTCTCTCTTCCCTTTTTTTGTTTTTATAAGGAGAACAGGGGGAAGCTGGTACTACGTATTTATGAAGATTGTCAGGGTATATAATTTGAGATTGCATCTCTCTTCAGGTAATACAGGCACTAAAGGATCGTGGAAGGTCACGCAGAGCTGAGAGAGCACAGTAACTTGCTAGCGGTATAAGGAGATCACCAAGATTTCAAAGGGTGGGACCTGAGGTACTATAATTAGCCTCCAAAAGCCATTCTAACGCTCGCTGGAACCATTGAGTTGTACTTGCCTCTGAAGGCACAGCAGCATAAACAGCCCTTTGTGTTTGATGGGTTTCGTATAAACAACTCTACGTTGCAGCACCACTCCTTTGGTGTGACCCAAGTTCATGGCAGCTGTGTAACAGTGTTTTTAAGGAACAGCCTGTCCCCCTGCTGTCACAGGTGACAACAGCAGCAGCAGAAGTGTAACGGAAGTTCTGGCAGATACAGACGGCTGCCACGCAGAGCCCTGTTTACATTAGCCCAACTACTACTACCATTAACTGTGCTTTAGACAAAGCAAGAGCAAAGCTGGAAAACTGAGAGAAAGAGACCAATGCTGACATCTCAAACAATCCCTCGGAAAATGTGGCAGCTGCAGTATTTTTTGAGAGTTTTAAGGACTACCAATATCGGCTTGAAAACACAGGTCATCTTAAGAATCCATATCATCTGAGTTTCAACTGTACATTTAAGCGTCATGGGCTGAGCACCAGCCAAATTTCCATCAGCTGGGGGAAAAGTTCTTTCTCATTGCAGTAAATAGAGCAATGACTGGTAGGGAAGGACCTCTCAGAGAGACAAAAAAATACAAATCATTGCGGGGGAGAAATACTAGTTATCCAACCCTGAGAAAACATCTCAAAAACTTTACTTTCTCCATTATAATGTCGCAACCCAGCAACAACACAAAGAAATTGTGAAATTCAACTCACGTTTACAAAGAGTTTGTAGAGAAAAGCACAGTCTTTATGCTAAGTATTAGCGCAGAGTTGAAGATGCCGCTATCACCTGACATATATTCAGGTGACAATCAGCACACCCCTGCCTCCTCTTTTAGGAGTTATTTAAATAAGTGACTAGCCTAAGATGGCAAGGCAAGACAAAACAAGGTAAACGAGTAAAAGAAAGCATACAAGCTGACAACCAAAGCACAACTCAGCGTGCAAAAGCTGAAGCTGAGACTATATGCTACAAGGGAATCCTTAAAGCTCGTACGTTAGTATTTTCAGCGACAGAGAAAGGCGAGCTTTGACTCTCTCTCTCTTCCACCTACTTGCGACTCCCTGAAAGCGCTGGGAGAAACCTTACGAACGCCGGATCAGGAGGGGACCCGAATCACCCCGCTCACGCAGACGGGGCCCGGGGCAGCCAGGAGAGCTCCGGGGGGGGGGGGGGGGGAGAGGCGGAGCCC